GTCTGCTCTAGTCTGCTCTGCTTCAAGGTTAGCAGTAAGCCATGACACCAATTGTTTTCTTGTATTAATCTTGTCTTAGATTTATGTCTCAATGATTGTTTTAGTTACGCACCACGTAACAACATACACACACATTGAGCTTCCTCATTTTGTTATGACTAGGTAACATGCAGCTGTTCCAAGCCTGTGGAGCTCTAGATAAGAGATGGAGTCTGCTGGACGGACTTCATCTGTGTAAGGGGTTAGCCCATAAACTGATAAATGTATTAGGCTCTGTGTTTCTGGGAGCTCCTCTCAGAGTGTGTGTCTCTGGAGGAAGGAACGACCTGGGTTGTGTTCTGTAATCTTTATTTATATATTTTTTAAAATAAACCAGCACTAAAATAAAAAAAAAAGACAGACTCCTTTGTTATTCAGATCTGTCCATTAAAAGAACTGGGGTATAACAACTTGGTGCCTTGACCTTCGAAACTGGCTGAATTCTGAGCTGGATTCCAGTCGGGAGTGAACAGACTGTACAACATCTGCTGGCAAATAATAACAGGTGAGCAGGAGCCTTTTGTACAGAATTCCTGCATATTGGACCTTACAACATTTTGTTGATCTGTGTGGACTGTAAATTCCTGATGTAAAAATTGAATGATTACAGTAAAGGTAAGATAACACTTTTATTTTGAAATGTGCTGGTCTTGTTTTTGCCACACGTAAGAGTGCAAGCACATAATCTCATTTGAGGGATAGAACAATAAGTGCCCTAGTTAGAAACTGATGACTATCAAAGATGTAAAATCCATGTTAATAAGTGACTAACCACAAATTTTGACCGTTGTCTCCTAAAGTATTAGGATTTTTTGTGATCTGCTGGGAAGGCGGAAGTCAGAGGCGGAGCCCTTCCCTGAGCAAAACACATTCCTGAATGTTTAAATATTTATAAGACAATCACTGCTAACTGTTAAATGATTAATGAGGGCACTAGGGAAATATTTTTTGTTTTTCATATCTTGTGTGGGTGGATTGTCTGCACGAAGGCTGTTGAACACTGTCACAATCGCTATTGGGAGAATTTGGTGTCAAACAGTGTGCCTCAGGCAGAGCTGTCTTTGGTTCCAGGGCCTGGGCATAGCCTATGGGGAAACTGTATTATAGAATTTAGGGTGACGGCGTATTTGGTGGAATTAAAACAGAACCGTTGATTGGGAGAACCCCCAGCGATCGGGCGCACCAAACTAGCTGGTGTAGAAGCTTCCCGACCAGGTCACGGGTCTGGGCGACAGACCATTCTAGCTGAAATGCCAGTCACATGTGCATAATTATCAAAATGTTTGTAAATGTTCAAAAATGGAGAATGAGCAAACCAGATTCTTTGGGGTCAATACTCTACAAGTTTTTGATTAAATGGTTAAATACGGTTCCTAAAGATAAGCAGGATAATGCAGAAGCAAAAAGAAAAGGCATGTTTGGGGATAGTGACAGTCCTCCGCCACAAGGGGGTGCTAAAATCTGGCTGTTTAGACCAGCCCACAACTCCAGTTGTCGGTTCATGTGCTCTTGCCTCTTTCACAGATGAGGAGGAGGGCCATTTTTGTGATGTTTCAGTGACAGCAATGTCTCATGGTAGTGATTCCAGCTGGGATGGCAGAGTGCATGATTTCTTATCACAACGTACGCAGAGGGTGAGGGAACATCCATGATTGTTTTGACATTCCCTCACACCAGCTGCCATTGCTTCAGTACACTTCACCTCATGGAGGGATAACACAAACCTATAATCCTTTTAGCCTTCAAGTCATGAGCATGGTTAAATCCCAGCTACCTGACATTGAAAAAGGTGGTGCACCATGGATTAACAATGGAGAGAATTTCATGTCTAAATCTAGATTACTAAAGGTCTTGGAGTATCCATGAAGGGAAGACTAACTGGAGGATGACTGGAGAATGGTTGTAGTGTATGGGGTGGTGGTTTATTGTGTTGTTGTATGAAGGACGTCTTTGTTCTTCATGGATAAAAATAGGTGATGATCTCACTTGAGGTGAATTCAGTAGCTGTTGCAGAGCTTTTAATTACCTTTACAGGCTTTCTCCATGTTTGCTTCATACTAAATTTTGAATATAGACCTTGTGGTATAAGCAAAACCTACAGAGCAGGCCAATATATTCCAGTATCATTTTTTTCAAAGTAGAATTATATTGACTGTACTAGTACTTGATAGTACTTTATTACTCATGTTCACTTGCTGTGCTTTGGCAATATGCACAACAGTAGGACTACCCATACTTTGCATAGATGATAGAGGTGTGTGTGTGTGTGTGTATTTATGGAGTTCATTTCCCCCAACTGGCTTGTTTGTGGCCACCACTATTGTTTCATGAGAGGCAAGTAACTGTAAAACAATGTATTCATTGAATACAGTGCACCTGAAGAGTACGTCAAGAGTATGGACCACAGAGTCTTCACAACTGTAGTCATGTAACTACAAGAGCTCTCATGACTGGAGAAATCTTCACAACTGTGGGCCAGGGACATTGAGAAAATGTGAGGTACTCTACCTTGATGACCCCACCAGTAGGGATTTGCCATCTTATGCCAAAACTTCAGCAGCATGTAAAAAAAAAAGGAGGGTACTTGTTGTGGGAGACTGTTTTAAGGGCCCTGACTAAATGTTGAACACAGGGCTTTGTTTTTGTTTTTTTTTAATTGGTGTTTTTCTTTAATAAAGCTGTTACAACCTAAACTGTCTGGGTCTGATTCTGCTTTTTAACATCCAAGATATCAAGTACTGGTTCAGGTCTTAGCTCTTTACTGTACTCCATCTTGGCCCAAAACTTCGGCACCATGTTAAAAAACAAAAAAGTACTCCATGTGGGAGATAGTGCTTTTTTCCCTCCATGCCAATAAAGCACATATGTTGAAATATAGGGGTATTTGAATGACAGTAAAGCAACTTGTGCTTAATTCCACAATGTCCTCATGAGGGTTGACAGGAATACATCTTCCCAGTTGTGTCCACATCATATTGGCTTCAAGGAAGGCTGGGAAACAGAAATAGCCCAAGTTATTTTGTTCTGTGTATATAACAAAGAAAAGAAAAACCTAAGTGTGGACAACATTCCACTGACCCATGTCTAGGTATAAAGATATTAAATTCTACAAGGTTGACTATAGTAAAGTTGTCATCTTTAAATGACTGAAAGCAGGGTTACTACCATAAAGCCTAATTTAGAGAATTGTTTAACTTAATGCTACAAAATTCAACACTGATACACACCAGTCAGGCATAACATTGACCACCTGTACGCACTTCAGTGCAGCACTTCTGCCTTAACATTTGTGTTTATGAAGCTCAAAATATTTCAGTTTTCAGTGAGACTGTCATAAATTCAATTATATGTTCATTATTGAGGTCATAGTTAAAGGTGGTTAAAGGAAAAAGAAAAGTTACAAGACATGTTTTAGGCTTTTAGGCAAAACTGTGGCTTATTTATTTAAAAAAATCTAAAAACCACTAATATTTAGTATGAATAAATCAAATAAATACTGTACAAACATTAATATAAGAATTTACAGTTTTCAGCTGCTTTGCCAAGACTAGCAACACAGCTTATCACACATTGTCAAATGTAGTTTATATCTAAGGAGAATCAGAGAAATAAAGGTGTCCAGTTAATGACATGAAGAAAATCTAAGGCTAATCTAAGAAAATCTAAGTCTGGCAGGCCTTCAGATTTATAACAACTGCTTTAGAGGATGAATAAGAGCATGTTCTGTGTGCACATTTACTGCAGAAGTCTTACTGTCATCATCTTCCCTCCAGCTCCCCTGCACGTCGTACTCCTGTTCCAGGGTCAGTGGCTCTGAGGCTGTTAGATGCTGCAGCTCAGGACGCTTCATCATTCATGATACCTGAAGGGTGTAAACAGGTGGATAAGAGACAGGGACTGCAGGTTTCTACAGCTTTAACTTAATCATGTATCCAGATGCTAAAGGACTGGAGCTGGTTCTGCTGTGCCAGTTAGAGACTTCAAACTACCAAAGGATCAAAAGCTTGTACTGACAGCTGGGTCAGATGTGTCATCTGTCCTAAGTTATTTCTTAACATTGTGTCAGCGTGGACAAAAAGCTTTCAAATGCACCATGACAAATGAGACTGTATGATATGATTGAAAGCTCCAGAAAAGCTACTAAATGGAACTTGTGATGAGACTGTTTTCTCAGCATTATTATTAGTTGGAGACTTATTTAGATGTCAAAATAAAACCCATCCACCATGTTTAAACATTCATAGTAAAGAAATGACATTCAAACACATCACTAAAAATATCAGCAGAGGAAAATAAAAGAAAACAGTGACAGGCTTCCTGTGTAACAATTAGACTGATCAGGTGTTAATGTCGTTACCTGGCCACGTGGTTTGTATTGTAAGGAACCAACACAATTTTGTGTCCCTCCAGTAGAATGTTCTCATTTATCTTCATGGTACCAAACCAGACACAAACACCAATAGGACCGATTCTAACAGTAAACTAAATTCAACCCTTGTACATCCCATTAATATATTAGGACAACTGGATACTGAATTACAAGATGGAGACTATTCTTCCCACAGATGTATTAAGGGGAAAAGGTAGACTTTTCCACGTCTGTATTGTGAGAATGTTTTTTCATAACGTAAACTAGTAGTCTGCTTTGTAGATAGTGTGTAGCCTTAAATTCTCAGTTTTTCCTTAGTTTAGGGCAGGGGTGGCCAATTCTGGTCCTCAAGGGCCGCTGCCCTGCTCGTTTTCCCAACTATCCCTGCTGATTACCTGGATCAGGCGTGTTCAGTCAGTCTGAAAGGGTATCTTCCAGTTTCTGACTGAACACGCCTGATCCAGGTAATCAGCAGCAGATAGGGCAGGGATAGTTGGAAAACAAGCAGGGCAGCGGCCCTCGAGGACTAGGATTGGCCACCTCCGGTTAGGGTTAGCAAGTGTATTGTTTTTGTTTGAAGTAACAGAGCGAATGAAGAAATAAGTTTATTGTTACATCATAAACTAGTAGATACACGTAAAGCTCACATTCAAGATCTTATAAACATAGAGTATACACTTACTGAGAGAATGAGCAGAGAGGCTCAAAGCTTTACCCAATAAGCAAGGAACAAAGTCACAGAAATTTTACAACTGATCACAGTCATTTTGTCAAATCAAAGAGATGGAAAAAGTTGAGGACAAACAAGGTAGCTGCTTTCAGCGACATCCAACAAATGACTCATTGTATTTCTCAAATGGCTTCTGTCTTCTCATGGAAGTCCCTGCTTTCTGCATAGACCTCCTGTCAGACTTTTGCTTGAAAATAGGAGAGCGAAGGAACTGCAAATCTGTGAACTTGTCTCCACGCCGAAGTTTCCTGTCATAATGAGAAAAACTGTTGAGCATTCATAGAATAACAAAACAAGTGGAACAACTTTACATTAAGATCAGCATTAATGTGTGACTCACGCATTTAGTGATGGCTCCTTGTAGTCCACCGCAATGGTACAACGACGCTTGCGAGCAGGAACAGGGGTGGAGCAGCGCACCTCCGAGAAATTGCGATAGGCTGCAGGGGACATATTGGTCACATCACACAGACTCAAGCCTCGCCCTGCTGTCCTTACACCAAGCCCACCTGTATAATTGTGATCCACAAGAAAGAGAAAAGGAAACAGGAGTTGTGCTTGGCTAAAACACAGACAACGAAGAAAACGCACAAATTGACAGCATGTGACCAGACCAAGCCTCTGAAGTGCACAATTATGTGATGACAAAGCTCTTGCCCTTTACCACTCAAAACTGTGAGACTTAAAGATTCAAGCAGGTTTGAGAAGGGACAAATAAACTTACGTTTCTTGCACGTTTTAACTCTTTGAGGAGTTTGGTGGCGTAAAAGAGGTGATGGATTGCAGGAGGAATCTCCGAAATTCGACAAGACATTGTCTATCCTCAGCATCTCGGCTTCAACCCGGGGGCTGACAGGAAGCAAACAACCCTCCTCCATTTCCTCCCTGAGAGGCTCTGGAAAAACCAGGACAAACAAGCACACATAATCATCTTTAATTCTCAAATTACCATCAGCTACAACAAACACACAATCCTGATTATCCCTGATGTCTTTGTTAGAGGTCGGATAAACTCACAGTTTACACATCATGAGGCAAGAGGATAATACTAGGTCAGCTCTTTAGGTTGAAGATCAGCTGTGTGAACTGATGTCTCAGTAAAGATTCAAACTAGGAAAAATGTTTTATGTGCCATATATTGTATTAATTTCATAAGATATTAATAGATTAATGTAGACCAAAACATACTTTCAACAAGAACATGACAGATGGACAAAAACCTCCTTTTCTGATGTTTCTGGCCAAAAGACGGATGTCTAAAAAGTATACATTAACACACGGTAAAGGCCTGAAGGCAAGCGCTTCATTGTGTCATCTCACTTTTAGAATAATGGTTAGTAATTAATATTTTCATGATATGGCTTTTAAAAAAAAACTAACTTAGTTGATACACAAATGTGCCAAACAATGGGAGAGCATTTATAATGAAGCTCAAGCCAAATGAACACCATTTTCCAGTCCTAACCTGCCCTTAAAACAAAGCATTTTTTAAGTACTTTATTTTTATTCCTTTATTCCCATTATCTCATTTCAATGAGCATTCCTTTGTCTGTCTGCATTGTTTACTGTCTGTTTACACTGCTTATTTTGCATTGTTTGCACTGGTTGTTGTGTGTTAATACTGCTTATTTTGTTATATTAGCCTTATGTTGGTTTACTGTTTACTTGCTGTCCAACCACTGATACTGTTCTACCAAAACTTTCAATCAGAAGAAAAGTACACCAGTAACATCTACAGTGAATCACTAACTGTATTATCAGCTATGCTAATACAAATTCTGTGTGAGTGCAAGAATGGAGGCAGGTCTACGGGGTCATCAGATGGGCACCCTCTCACTAACTGGGGCTTTGCTGAGTTAGGCCCAGGACACTGAGAAGGCTCAACAGTGTGTTACGGTGTCCCAAAACCACCCTCCTCTTTGCCTGCATCCACACACACACAATCCTCCATCAGTATCTACTCAACACTCTATCTAAACCCTCAAACAACAGTCAACAACTTACAGCTAACTACTACCTATATGTTCGCCACATGCTGTCCTAGCCATCAAGCTTTTCAAATAACAGTGAAACTTCTACTACATTTTACAATCAACACCTATCAATACGAGTGCATTCACCCAGCACTGATGGAAGAACACTGGATTATGGACAATGGGGAAATAAAGAGATATGTGTTTCCTATTGTCAAACTGCTTATTGCTACTGCCTAAATACTCAGACATGCAACTACACAATGAAACCATATCAGTTATTCCAGCTCCCTGTGGCATTAAAATCTGAGCCTTTGACCACTCTATTATAACAGAAACAAAGTAAACATGTTCCTGAACATTACCGACCTCTATGATTTTCCTGTCCCAGGCATGCAGGGTCTGGACAGTTAGAGAAGCAAAACCCAGGAACGTGATGGAGATGAGCTTCTTCCTTTTCAGGCTTTGAAGCTTTGGGACTCAACTCTTTGTCTCTAAAAACTATAAAACACAAAACAACAAAAGAAAATACTTAATTTTAACTTTTCTTATAAAGCTGCTAAAATGGAATATGAAGTTAATGTTGAAAAGACAAGCCTAAATCCTCACCAGCAACCTCCTGTCTTGGAGCAGCATTTTCATTCCCTTTGACTTTAGAGGGCCGGCCTCTACGTGTGATAACCACCTTGTTCATGTCAGGTGAAGCCCGTCTCCTCCTGGTCTTCTGAGGAACATATAGGCTGTCCTCAGATTCAGAGGATGGTGATGACGAGCTTGGCTCGGTCTGTTTGGACGATTCACTTTGTGGAGGCTCTTCGCTAACTGGCGTGGCTGGCTGACTGTCCTCTGTTTTGGCCTTGAAAGGTGTGACATGAACCGTCCCTTCACAGTCGAAGTCAAAGGTGTCATTAAATCCCAGTGAGGTGTTGAGCTTACTACCCTGTGGTGGAGGTGCTGTTTTGGCACGTGTGGCTGAACGGTCCCGACTTTTGGAGCGGGCTCTGGGTTTAGGATTGTCCCAAGGTTTCTTTAATGGGACACGTTCCGGTTTGCGACCTCTCTCGGGTTTACGTGCAGCTGATTCTGGTTTGGTGTGGGGCTGCTGCTGGACTTGTTTCTTGCTTGGCTGCTGCTGGCTGGTTTTTCTGGGCAGAACACGTTCAGGAGTAGAGTGCTGAAACTTCTCAGCCTCAGTAGGGTCTCCTAAATCTGGTTTATTTGGATGTCTAACGACACAGTGAATAGGACTTGCTATTAAAGTCCCCAAGCCTACAACGAGGTCCCCGTCACTCAGTAAGTTCTGTTCTGGCATGTGCTCAGATCTCCTCCTGCTTCTTTGCTCTGCATGCCGGCGCCTCACACCAACTGTAGATGGCAAAGAAGTCTGCATGCCAAATTCAGGGGGCTGAGGACCTGATAAGACCAATAAATAAATAATCAACATTATAAAATACAACACTGTGGAATCACAATAAATGCAGCCATTTCTTAAAATACAGTCAAGTGTACACAACAGTTGTGATGTTATCTGCAGACCAGACTATATTTAAACCTGGTAGTGGATCAGTCTGAAAATAACTTTACTTATCAATATAATGAAAACTTGTGGCCTGGAAAGAATGCCCATCAATACCTTATTAAATTAACAAAACAAAACAAAACTGAACTTTACCATATTCTTGGATTAAATGAAAACAAAGCTCCTGGTCGATGGTATAAAAATACTCATCTTACAATGGCGTAACTATTATGGTTAATCCATAATACTGAATATTTGTATATACCTGCACAAACGGGAGAGGCTTTGCCCACAGTGGGCCCATCAAGGTTCTGGCTGGTCTGTGTTTTACTGCATATTGAAAGGGAACAGATACTGATAGTTATAAAACTTAAGAGAAATCATGCTAAAGTTTTATGGAATGAATTTTTGTTTTAAAAAAAAAAAAAAGCTCCCTTGCTGAATCCATGCGGATTTCTGCAGGTTTCATCTAAATCAGCATAAAAGACAAAAAAATTTTCCTTTATGATGGTATAATTTTTACCAGAATTATCTGGATAGGTATAAGTAGGGTAGGTATACCCATTAAGCCCACCAAAATCTACATTTGGATAGTTTTCGTACATGTTAACCTGATTTATAAGGCTAATCTAAATGATACCATGGCACCATTTAAGCCCATGTGTGTTCCAGATAAGACCACATCATGAATTATTACTAAAATATAAAAATGTATTGTCTGAAAAGAATTCATAAAAGCAACAGATCTACTCAGTAACATCTTAGGAACAGGTTGTTGTAGATGTTTTAAAAATATATGTAAGGCCTGGATTTATCCAATAGATGAGCCACAAACAACAGTGTTCTCTCTTTTGTTGTATTTTACTTCAAAGTTTAAAGTGGGCTTAAATGGTACATGGGCTTAATGGGTACACCTACCCTAACCCCCCGCCCCCAGAACCCCTTAAACTGTGAAACATGTACTAGATATGGACAAAGAACACACCACAGTCTCCATATGTACTTCTGACGCTCTCGCTGCCAAAGCTTCCTGCTCCTTGAGCTTCCGCTTGAGAAGGAGTAGGTGAAGGAACATGGCCTGTTGTTCCCTTTTCAGCTGCAGAATCACTGCATTGGCCAGCTTCACTTTCTCCTTTTCAGCCTGCAAGGCTAAGGCCAGCGCCTTGTTGTTCTGTTGGACACCTTTCAGGATGGCGTGTGTAGAGTTAGTCCCTGGAGCAAAACGTAAGAAGAATGTCGTGTCAGTTTGAGACAAATCCCATCTTCATGTCAGCACCATCTGCACTTTTACATCTGTCAGTATCATGGTTCTATCAAGCACATCCTTCAAGTCTACATTATCAATATGTTTTGATATTAAGTAATGGTAACTGCGCTCTCGTTTCCTTACCATTGCTTTTGTTCATCATACCGGTCCGTCCTCTGCTGGGCGCTGAGGCACTGGCCAGCCGTTTGTTCCTCTTCTCCTTCATCCTCTCCTTGATGTCCTCCAGACTCTGCTGGAAGGACTTCTTCTGGACCCGTTCCCTTACCATGGCTCAGAATCTTTGACCAGTTATAAGTATTTTACGTTATCCAACTGAGCAGCAGCTTTGCACCATGATAAGCCTGACCAAAACAAAGCTAACTACTACGCTAACATGCTAGCTACGTTAGCACGCTATTTAACGTTGACGTTCGCCAATCCAACAAACTACCTCCGGCAGCTGCAGTCAAATGTTATTATTTCAAGCAACATAAAATTAGACTCACCAATGTGGTTATCGATTAGCTCTTTAGAATACAAATTACCGATTCAACAAGATACTTTAATAACTAAAATCAGAGAGCAAAACAATCAATCCGATTTTCAGCAAGGAGACGTTCGAATTTTGAGATGCGGCTGCTGATTGGTGAGAATATGAGACCGGTTGCGTCACTTCCTCTCAGTGAAATAGTAGTTTTCGTCACTAGATGGCGGTACTGTATAGCAGAAAGTAAACAGGTCTACATAGAGGACATATGGCTGATTTGCAATTCATTTTTCTGGTTTTATGAAATTATGCAGCAGACTACCACACTGCACTGATTATCTGATTATACTTCTCGATATTTGAGTCATTGTTTTCACATTTTTCCATCTGTCTGTTTGTTTGTTTGTTTGCAGGACACAAAGCAAAGTGGAGAACATGTGCCATTGGGATATGGAAGTAAAGTACATTTCTTTTAAATGGAAATTAGATTAACTCTCATCAAGGGTTAGGCTGATTCAGGCCCTTTTAAAATGACTAACCGAACATTTATAATTAACTGCTGGAGATAAGAGCTTCAGCAGTGCCCTGCTGCATGTGGATGGAGCTGATAAATGTGTTAATAAAAGCCCACTGACAGGCAGTTTGAGTTTTATTCCTTGAGGTTTCTCTGAAACTCTCGTAGTTCTTTTAAACTTAGATTACGCAATATCTCAAAAAGCAAGTCAGTTACTGAGTGAATGCAAAACTTAATTAAGTTAGTAATAACTAGTAAGTTTAATGACAACATGCTTCAGTGTCCAGCCTCCCATTATCCTTTAACCCCTATTTGCAAACATGTCTTCATTCATACACAATAAATCTTGCTCAATAAGTATAAATACTGGAATACAATGAGTTATGATCTCATTTACTTTCCCATGTCAAGCAGCCATGTGTTACTGAAACTTTCACTTTTTCTGCATGGCACCACAGCTAATATAACATCCATGTGGACCTTCTGTCAGTGTGGATCCAAGAAAGTGTCAATGACATCCAGCTGAGTGGCACGCTGAGGCCATAGAAGGGGGTTGGAAAAGTTTGGGTGTTGTCGGTGTCACCCAGTGGAAACAAATTACTTCAGCAGGGTGCCTCAGCTGTGAAACGGGTCCATACTTTCATGCGAGACCCTTGAGTAAAGCATACAGACAGTGCTGTATTTTTTTTACTAGACAAACATTTGGCGCTTCTAATCCTCTCAGTGGGAATATTTCAGTTTGGTTACAAACGACTTAAACTAAAGAAAATAACTACAGTTGAAAAGCCAACCTAAACTAACAGCATTTTGTTTTTGTTTTTTTGTTTTTCAGTAACAGGTATGCACTTTTGGTGTGGGTTAGAAGTGTTGTAATACTTTACTGTTTTAATAATAAGATCACTTCTGTTTGTTATAAAGGCATATTATTCATTCTGAGCTTGTCAGTATTAAAGAGAGAGACAGAGATAGGGAGAGAAACATATCAAGTCAAACCAAAAGACAGCCAGAGGGACTCCACAGGGCTTAGCTCAGCTTGCTTTAATGGATAAATCCATCACACAGTCATTTCATGCCACCCTTGACTATCCACATGTCAGATGCCTGGAAAGAAACTTATTATCACGGGTACAGGAAAAAGGCAGAATAGGAGGGACTGATTAAAATAAAAATTGAGTCAATGTTGTGTCAGACAGAGAAATGAAGCCACAATAAAGATTCAGAGAACAAGAGACTATGGGCATCAACAGAGATAAAGACATTGCCTTTTATAGTATAACAGTAGCTGGGATGAATCTGTTTATCTACAAACTCATCTCTGTCAGATCTCAGCTGCCCCTGCCTGGTTAGTCTGCAAAGATCATCTGTTTTTTTTACCAGATGAAAATTATTAGCTCTAATCTGTGCACTTGGCTCAACTGGGACAAAAATAAACAGCCCTACTTTTTAATATGAAAAATGTGCATATAGTGGCATGCTCACAAACTCTGGTAATGAAATCATAACACAAAGCAAGCTTTGCAGAAACAACTCAGAAAATTAGAAGGTAGCCTGTTTTATGGACCTCAGATCAAGGGTTTCCAACTGACTGTGACCCAGAGACCCATGTTATGAAGTAAGAACTAACCCAAGGACCACAGTTGTGTGGTGGGCACTATTTTAATTCTGAAAGTCACCTTGGATTTTATAAATGCTATATATTCTATGTGAATAATTTGATTTTTTGCAAATAAAATAAGATAAAATAACTGTGATTCCTACAGTAAAACAACATTAATAAATACATGGTCAGGGACCACCTGCAATGTTGTCATGGACCACCAGAGGGCCATGGACCAGTGGTTGAAAACCCCTGACAGATAACCAGCTACCTACATCTCTATCGAGTTTGTCAGTATAGTTCATTTTAGTTTAGTTTATTTGGAATTACATGATATGAAAAATGTCACACATAACACAGTAGACAAGATAGCAAAGATGAAGGACATTATACTACCAACAAATCAACATAATAAGTATGTATATCATCATCATCCTCAATTGAAAATAAAATGTTTTTAGAAAAACCATTTAATAAAAAATACAGTTTCCTGTAAGCCTTCATTGAAACTTTATTTTAAATCTGTGGTGGATATTTATAATGTTAATGCACAAAAATAACTTGTTTCTGGCTCTAGTCTGGTGGGCATAACAGTCAGTATTAGATTTAAGAGTCTGTCAACCAAAAGTGCATTAAATGCAAACCCACATTAATAACACAAGTAATCATTAGATAAAGAGGCCATAATTATAACTGGTCTGATGGTGCAGTGCATAATACAGCTGCAGCATCCCATGGATTTCATTTCCGCAAAATGATTCTAACATGAATTTTTCCCTCTATGGATGTAAAAAAGTCCAATGTCTGACTGTACTGTAACAAACCAAACCAGAGGAGCACTCCTTTTATCATCACATCCCTTTGAACACAAATGATAGCAGCACTGAGCCCCTGACACACACACGACTCTGTGTGTTGCAGCTTGGGCATTATGCTTTACAGCCTGCTCTGAAACACCCTGCTGAGCCATTTACTTCACAGCCAACATCCTCTCTTTTTCTGTGTTGTTCCGTGTCATACCTCTGCACTGCTTCAACAGGACTGGAAAGCCTCACAGGGACTGAACAAATCTTTTCTGGAGCTGCAAGAGCAACGGTAGGTACTTAGGAAAGAGCTGAAATTGAAGGTTGGTTTGAACTTTAGACTTTTGCTCCCAGACTGCTGTGGAAACTTGTTGACCCAGCCAGATGGTGACTGTGCGACATCTTCCCCACTGCCAACTCACCTTTTGTCTGCCCACTAGAGCTGAAGAAACACAGTTTACATGGGGCAGCTTGCACACATTTTACGCCAATGTCAAATTTATTTATATAGCACAATTTAAAACAACCACAGTTGACCAATGTGCTATGCAAACAGGAGTAGAAATAACAAATCAGATTAAAATTGTGTACACAATATAACAATTTAAACTAAATAATCGCATGATAAAATAAATGGAAAATGTGATGCAGCCACAGCAAAAGCTTGCTCACCTCTGTTTTTTAGCTTTGTTCTGGGCACATCAAGGATCATCAGATTAGCTGGCCTCAGTTGCATTTTGGATTGATTGGAGTCGATTTAGAGCTGACTTGTCAATACCCACATAAAGGGAGTTACAGTAGTCTATACATGAGGTAATAAGAAAAAGAATAACTTTAAAGCACAGAGTAGGCTTTACCTTGGCCAGTAATCTCATGTGGAAGAAGCTTTTCACTACAGAGCTGATTTGTTTATTTAGTTTTAAAGGAGATGTCTATAACCATGCCAAGGTTTTTTTTAAATATAAAAGATCTGTTTTATGACACAAAAGAGCCAAGAAAACCTGCAGCAGTTGTGATGTAGGAGTGCCAAATCTGTAGCGTATAATACTTCGAACAAGTGGGATTATTGTTCACCACATAAACAAAGACAGTAGGGTCTGTGAAAGGGTCAGTGGTGCAATGAAAATACTAACTCTCATAAATAAATGCTGCATTATAATTTATAATGTACAGCTCACATGTCAGACCTAGGCTAGTTGCTTTCTCATGTTTAGTCTTTATGCTAAACTAAGATAACCAGCTGCTTGCAGTAGCCTTAAATTTACTGTACAATTGTGTTCATCCAACACTCACCAGGAAAACAGATTGTCATGTCTTGGAAGTACCACTGGTATTTTGGTAATATATGCCAGTTGGCTATAGTTTTATACATTCATGATTTCTCTCAGTATTTCTTTTTATGTAAGTTAATAAAAATATTTTATTACCTTGACTATTTGAATGCAGAATTTAAACCTTACGTTGTAAATATAATGTACTATGGACTGAGAATACAGATTGAAGTTATACCTTAAATTTTATTTTCTGAGTGAGTTTCATAAAATTACTTTTGACATCCCTCATTTCTGTCAATCATAATTTCATTGCACTACTACCCATGACCATATTTGTTTTATGATTTGAACTAAATGCAGTGTGCTGAAGTCAAAATGTTGCAGCCTCATGCCAAAAGCATATTGTAGTCTTTTTCTATGTGAACAGCAAGTAAAACTGCCCTCACATGGCGTGCATGGCGCTGCTTTGTGCCTTTGTACTCTCTCCAGGTAACAGAGAATGAAAAATTCCTCCGGATGCCAAGTCAAGCTTTTGTGTTGCTGACATATGTTTATGCGACTATGTGCGCATGCATGCCACGAATTCAGACAAGAGACCAAAAAAAAAAAGCAGTGGAGTGAAGAGAGTTGTGAAACATGACAAAAAGTGAAGGAGAAAAGGCAGTGAAGGCTGGCAAGGGAATGAGCCAGGGAGTTAAGAGGCCAGAGGTCAGAATTCCAACAGCCTGTGGAGAATTGAGCATCCCACATACAGATGTTCAAAATCACTACAAGAGACAATTAATAATAATAACAATGACCACAGTGACAGCTGGGAGGATCAGGACGCACTGGTCAATCGGATGATCATTTTGTGAATTGGCTCATAAAACTATTTACTACAGGAGGGAGAAGCAGAAAATACCTAATCCATTAATCCACTGAGATAATCTGAGGGGTCACAAGTTTAAAAAGCTGCAATCACACAACCTCTGACCTGATGAAGTGAGTTCGGCCTCTGGGAAAGCTCAAGATGACGACAATCAGATCATGTCAGTGTGGAACCTCATCAGTGATCTAAACAGCGGAGTCCCAATTAAAATTGTTTACAGTTGTGTCTTTTTTCACATTCCTTTTGTAATAACAATGTGAAAAAAACCAACCCTGAGATAAAACTATAACAAACCATAAACCTGCTCTACACATCCTCAGCTGTGGTGGAAGAAGTACTCAGATTTTTTTACTAAGTAAAAGTACCGCCGTGTAAGAATAATCTGTTACAAGTAAAAGTCCTGCATAAATATATTACTTAAATCAAAGTACAAAAGTATTAACATGAAAATATACTAAAAGTACCAAAAATAAAAGTGCCTATGCAGAATGGCACATTTCACATTAATCAGTTATGGGATTGTAACTGTTGATGTATTATGGTGAACATCACATTTGATGTTCCAGAGGGTAAAGGTAGAGCTAATTAAATTATCTTATATAAGGAAAAATGAAAATACTCAAGTAGAGATACCTCACAACTGTACTTAAGTACAGTACTTAAGGAAATGTACTTAGTTACTTTCCACCACTGATCCTCAGAGTCTGCACTGAAGCAGCAGTACACATTAGCTCCATAGCTCTAGGCATTTAAAATTACCTTTTGCTAAAACATATATTTTCCTTAATTAGCTACACGTTGCTTGAGGCAGCAATGTAGTAAACCTCACTGAAAAGACAGGCACAGAAGTCAGACATAACATTCCTGTTTTGATTTATCTCAGAGAACGACGCTGTAGGGGAGTTGGTGGGGGGATAGGTTTATCTGAACTCATTTGTAATAAATAGTTGGACCACAATCCTAAAGCTTAGAAGCCAAAACCAAATAAAAGGCTACGGATATGTCCTTTTCATTTTGTGCTTAAAAAGAAAATACTTGAATACAGATCAAGGAACAAAAGGAGGATGAGGCTTAGGTCAGAGTCTGAATACAGAGAGTTATGGGTTTGAGAAGAGGTGATGCCTGACTGCGCCTCGGTGCGGCCACATTTCTGGCAGTGTCTGGGCGAACACGTATGCAAGGATCTGAAAGGTCTAAGATATACTGTATGTTTGGTCCTGCATTGCATCTGATTTAATAAATCTGTTGGAACCAAGATCTATCTGAAAAACTGATGAATATTACATTAAATTTAATGTGTTTACTAAATGTTTTGAAGTCCTTTTCATCAATGCGACCTAGTAAGGCTGCATTCACTCTCTGAAAGGTAATAATGGATTTTCTAAAATCAGAATATCCACAGCTATTGTTTATTGGAAAATAATAAACATATTGAGTCAAGCATGGTCTTACTGGCATTCATACTTAGAAGCATATGCACACACACAAGCACACAGTCATAGTCATCACAGAAGTTCACCACTCGGCATCTATGTCATATCTACTAAATTGGTGCAAACAGGGTCCTTCGTGAATGTTTTGGAGATCATCAGTATATGTGGAACTTAATGGTGTAGAGCAAAATGCTCTAACAGGTTTTATGATGGCTATATCTGCACATGCAGTCGTGTGTACACACACACACACACACACACACACTCACATCAGAAAATTCTCTGCTTTCACTCATTTGCTGCATCCTCAGTCCCAAAGTGTTTTATGGATCTGGCCCTGCAAACAAAGTTTTCAGTCCTGGTCCATGACACCAGCAATATGTGTCAGTAAGTGGAGTACAGCAAGCGCTGCCTAACATCACATCGTGTTCAGGTCTCAGGTCTTGCTTTTAGCTGTAGTTCAGAGTTAATTGAAATGTCGACAGGGTCAGTAAGGAGAAAACAGAACTGGCGTGTGCGTTGAACAGATGGCTCCAGTGGTTGGATGTAGAAGTGCCTGGGGGAGGGGCTGATTCTGAAACAGGGCTGGGTTTGAGCATGAGGGTGGCCGGAGAGGGAAGCGGGGCAGTGTTGCCATAGCAGCAACGGCAGCAACAGAGAACTGATGTTGTAGGAGACAAGAGCCCAGAGGTTTGGTCAAGTCCCGGTTCTTCCGTAGAGCCAGCTGAATCTGAGGCGGAAACACAGGAAACTGAGCAGGAAGCCAGAGAAGAACAAGAATATCTCAGCAGATAATTGGAAAATAGAGATATAAGTTGTCCAAGCAAGTTCAGCTTTATCAAATATCTGCTCTCCTTTCTAATGTTTGCGTCTCTCTCGCAATCACAGGGCTCAGAGCAGTAAAGATTTTCAGACATAAAATTCCTCATCCCTTAGTGCTGACATTTCTCCTCAGTAGGGAGTGGAGCTTCCTGGAAGAAGCTCAAGAGAATTGAAATATGTACACAAACACAATGATGTGAGGCAAAACTAAATGAAGCAACAGCAACAGTACTCACTCCCTGGAAACTCTGGTGACGCTGGGTGGGAGCATAGGGGCCAAACTTAGGCTTGGCTGGTTTACCTGCTGCTCTGTCTTTGTGTCGCCTGCTGCTGATGTGCTGCAGTGGAGGACACACAAGTAAGTAAACAAGCAGCATAAAGACGCAGCAGACAAAAAAATAAGGCAACAGTCACTGCTACTTGCAATTTTTGAATAATCAGTGAAGTGGAAATTAAAGGAAGCCTAACGTGATGATTAAGCAGAATGTTGATATTTTTGTTATCTCTGACTTTGAGGTTCAAAATATTCACAAGGGGCGTGTTTGGAAATCTTTGAACTGATTGACAAGAACAAACAGATGGCTTCGGCCAGAGTGGCATACAATCAGCGGTAAAGTGTTGAATATTCATGAGCACCCGGCCAAAAGTTAATTTTTAAACAGTCGGCTGTGAAGGCCAGCATTCATATCATGAACAGAGATGCTTACATCATATTCATATGCTCAGTGAAACAAAATAGCTTTCTGCTCATTTATCTTGAAGGGTCAGTGATTTTAACTCACCTGCAGTAGCAGGTGCAACATGTTCACACTGCAGTTTGGAATAACATATGAACGGTCTCGAAGTGCCTTATTGTAATGCATGGTGGGTAAATAATGCCGATGCCTTTGATGAGCTGACCTGTGTGAGCGGCAAATCTGTGTGACAGCTGACTGTTTCATAGCTTGCCAGAGGGACTAACCAGTAAGACGGGCGATGATCCAGTTGTCCCAGTGTTCACGCTACTCGAGCACTGGCTTAGTTACAGAATAATGTATGCTACTTATTGTGCCATGCACATACAAAAAAAGACACAAAAACCCGTTGCCATGGTGAAATATTTGTCAGACCCAATTATAACTAGCAAACAAAGAATATTGGTTTCTGTCTCAAGCTCTACAAATAAAACCTACCGCAAATAAAAGTTCCTAAAACAGAAAATGCACACGTCAATAAAACATAAAACAGACTTTGTTTTCAGTCACACCTAAATCAGCCAAACAAAGCCTTTTCTGTTGAGTGGGACTATTAAACCTGCCTGTAACTACACACAGAACTATGTATGTAATTTAGGTTTGTACCAAAAATCAACAGATCATCTTTCCTTATATTTATGGAGCATGTGAGACAGGTTTTGAAACATAAAAAATAAATAATTATACAAAAAAAAAATATACATTCCTTCTCACTTACCCAGGAAAGTCCGGTCAACATCTCTCTAATGAGCCACATGCATGTGCGTACATCAGCTTCAAAGCTATCTTACATTCATGTCTGATAGTTAGTGGCTTCTCATATCGCATCATATCCAAGGCTGTTCTCCCAGAAATGAGCAAACAGCTCTGTGATGTACTGTACAGTTTAAATTATATATGGTTCACTACTCCCCAACACCGTCTGCATGTAACCTTCGGTTTTCACCTGGCATTGTTTCCATCAAACCTGTTTGAGCTGAGTCTCGGAGTTGACGTGCACGTCGCAGATCTCACAGTGGAAAGTTTTGTTCTGGAGTCCAGTCGACGACTCAGACGGTGCGGCCAGCTTGGCCTTGATCCCTGTCCGTGGGAAAGACTTGATGGCTCCATCACCACTTCTAGCCTCCAGCATTGTCTTGTGCTTAGTGCCTGAACAGATATAAAGTCAAATCAACAGAGTACCAAGCACAGTAACAGCAGACTCAATATATGCAGAGGACAAGTTTCTCACCACTGTTGTGGGCCTGTAGCTGCGAGGCAGAGTTCACGGCCACCTTGCAGAGGGAGCAGTAGAGAAGACGTATAGCTTTCTCTTCTTCTGTTTCTTCCTCTGGAGCCATCTCAGTGTCTCCATCTTTTTGCGTCTCTTTCTCTGGTGTCCTCGAGCAGGGTGACAGGGAGGGGTCAGATGGTGCTTTCACAGTTTCAGTGGTTGATTGTACCACCTCTGAGGTAGGCTTTGGGGCAGAAGGTTCTACGATGAATCCAAAGTAAAATAGAAAGTTATGATGTAAATACAACAACGTAAGTGGTGTGAGAGACAAACAGGTCTTAAGACAGAGAGAAGGAGACTGAGGAAGTGAAATGAGACAAACTTGAACATTTTTCCACTTCTATGAAATTCCTGAATTCTTACAGAAGTACTAGTTTCATGACTTGCTTGGGGACAGCAATAACTCACCAGGTTTCAAGTGATTATGAGCTTGATCACCCTCTCTATCCTCTCTAATCATACTAATAATCAAAGATGTCCCCTGGGATCTGGCTTCTAGCACTTAAACAGTTTTGAATTAGGATTTGGCTCTTAGTATCTTTTGTGAGACTGACTTGTAAAGGTTCCCTCGAGGACCATGTGCTGATTTAAGGATTAGCTAATAAGAATGATTAGGGCTGTCTAGCTGAGTGGATGACTGTTTGCTACCAATGATTCCCTTCTCTTGGAGGCCGACGAGGCTGTTTGCCAGAATAATCTTCAGAGAGCTCTCCTGCTGTCTCATCCGCTTCCCTGAGACTAACTCCAAACTGGAACTGATCACTTATTCTTTCTCTCTTACGAGTAAATATCGGCAGTGTCAAGTACAATTCTTATGTTATTTTGCTCTTTAGCAAAATGTATTCACAACAAACTAACACCCACACACATGCAAAGGTTACACATCTGCAGAGGCACACACATGTTGGGAAACAGCTGACACACCTCCCTACTAACGCTGACATACTGTATTTCCAGACACACATGTATTGTAGGTGCCTGCACAAAATCACGCACACTCTACAGCCTCCCAGAAATCATATTCAAAGCATTTGCAGTGTTTTTGATCTCAGGAGGCCACTGAATGAGGTTAATAAATATAGACATGAAGAAGGAACACAGGATAATGCGCCATCATAAATCATCTCGCAGTAAAACCCAAAGCAGCAGGAAGTTTATCACATCAAAGAGTTAAAGTCGTGACTGGGAAAAGAAGGTCTGAGCTGTATATTCATATATCCAGCATTGTCATACAATTAATGTCTGCGCACGCACACACACACACACACACACACACAGGGAGCTAATGCATGCCTGCAGAGGCACTCACCTCCTGATGTTGTGTCAGAGCTGGTGGGCTGTGAGCAGGGTGACAAGAGGATGTGCAATGTGGTTTCCTTGGCGACCGGTTCAGAGGTCCTGATCTTTGAATCTGGGGCATCCATGGCTTTCAGCCTTTTTGCATGTTTGGTGCCACTATAATGGGAACAGGCCTGCACCTGTGTGCCCAGCAGCAAACAAGAAGGCATGAGCCAGCTGTTCTCAATTATTTAGTCACGAGAATCTGACAATGTATTTATTTAAAGCCACAATGATTTAAATGTTTGTACAAACTCCACCACAGAGGCTCGCAGCTTAGAGGTTGCAATCATTCTTACATTGATTGACGGATGTATGTATTACACCAGGCAGTAAGTAACAAGTAGCAGGTTTGTAATGTTCCAGATTTAAGTGTTTTCTTACATCAGTTGCTATTTTTGGACTATAGCCATTTCTTTTGCATGTACATATTCCTTCTGTTTTCTGTGTGTTTCTGCAGTCCAGCACACAATTGTACTTGTGTATCAATCACTCTGTAATTAGACCAATAAAAAATGAATGCTCTACAAAAATCAAATATTAGATGTGTGCACATTTCACCTATTTATTAAATCGGGTAGCTCTAACCTCTCAGAACCAGTAAAACAGCCATATGACACCACCAACCTCAGAGTTGAACCTCAGTCGACAGACTCCACAGGAACTGGGCTTCCTCTTCAGCGACGAGGTTAGCCCAAAGGCTGGGCCAATCAGAGCTTTACGGACGTGATCCATCTGCAACAAAGGATGAGCATAGCATTACGGTCATGACTGGTTGAGGACTGGGACAGATAAGACAGCGAAGGTAGAGACAGTTATCATCTGGAGGTGACAGTGGTTCAGTGGGTAGAGCTGTCGTTTCCCAACCAAAAGGCTGAAGGTTTGAATCTCGGTGCCGGCAGTCCACGTGTTGAAGTGTCCTTGGACAAGACACTGAACCCCCCTGTTGCCCCCGAAGGTTAGAACCATCAGTGTGAGTTGGCGCCGCAGATGGCTGCCTCGGTTCTGTACCGGAAACAAATTCCTTGTGTGTAACATACTTGGCCAATAAAGGTGATTATCCTAATGTTCCTTTTAGAAAAGCACTAATTTCCATTATCTCAGGTCAGAGGCGAGGGTACAGTTTGTATGGCGCCCAATCATGCATAAACACAATAGCAAATGCACAGCTGGTGTAACACGTAAACATACAGTATGTAAAGACACAAATAACATTTACTATCATTCACTAGAGACATCATACAAAATGGAGGCTTGTCAGTTGTGATTCACAGTAGAAACATTTGTTCTAATGATGGCAGGTGTTCATGGCAGAGACGAATTTCAAAACATTCAAAGTAACCTGTCAGATCAATCCTGCTGCACTGTCTACATCTCCTCGGCCCATCTCTAGGCAGTACACCTGCACCCTGCTGTATCTGGCACACTTCCACTGAAGTGTACACTCTGCCTTTCTATAAACTATTTCACCAAGCAATATGGCAATACACTATTAGAAAGTGTGGAATCTACTATAAAATAGTCAGAGCTATGTTTAATGTAGACCTTGATGACTCTGACTCGGGTAACAGGGACTCAGCTTGGACTCAATTCAGACTCCAATCGGACTTTTCTTTGGTGACTCACATATGACTCGAACAATGGGGACTCGAGATTCAACTTTGACTCAAGGTTTGATGACTTGACTACAACACTGCTTCTGTCCCAAGTTTCTGTAAAGCTCATAAGGATTGGTTTGTGCACCTGTTAGAACTTTATGCACCTCTGGTGGTCAGAACCAGTCCATTCCAGCTCAGTCTCTGAGCCTGATGTAACAGATATTATTTACAAATGTCTAAAAATGTTCTGATTATTTTAATTTTTCTGAAGTGAAAACATGTCATTGTTGGTATCCATTTGGACCACCATGAAGCCAAGTTGATCACAGCCTCTGTTCTCCATAACAGACAAACTGCAAATAAACTTTTTACAGACACCTGTAAAGCCTAGAGGGGGTGAGAGTTTCCACACACAGCCCAATTCCAGGAAGACACTGACCCAGCAGATTATTGTTCCAGACAAAGTTCAAAATTACGGTGGAGTTTTGAAGCATTCTTTGAAAGGTGTGATCAACTACATTATCTTCCAGAGAAAACACCATTTTAAAATCATGCGTTGTGTTGGTTTTGTTGCCTGCACCGTGAACATAACCAATGATTAAACTACAACCCTGTCACCTTTAGACTACAGTAGGTTTCTATGAGTCTAAGAATTTGTCTGTGTATATAACATCTGTATCTGACCACATGGCGTTGTGTGCTTTCTTTTTAATGAGCACATACTGTATAACCAGTTGGGTGCAATAACACCCAACTGACCTTTGTTTGATAAAACAAAACTGCTGCCTGTGATGAAATATTGGTCCCCATATAATCAGCTACAACCAGGGAGGCTTTATGGAAATCTGACTGGAATAACATTTATGTTTTTATGGGTCAACCAAGTAGTTGTGTGAGCCCTGGGAACATACAGCACACAACGGGTGACTGTGTTCCTTTAGTGGCATAAATAAAGTCTTTGCCCACCAAAAAGTCAAAAGTGCAGAAAAATCTGTGTGTGTGTGTTCTTGCTCATTTTCTTTGATCGTCACTCTAGGCGGCTCCACTGGAACGTATGTCTGCACTTATCCCCCTCTGTTTCCCTGCAGTTGTCTGTGTAAATAAAACTGAAACACACATATAAACAAATACAGCTCTTTTGTGTATTGTGTAAAATACACATCCTGAAATTGAAATGAAATAAAGAATAATATTTATGTCATCTCAGTTAACCATGTTGCATACACACAGTAAAACTGTACAATGTAACACAGCCACATTATGTTGCATATAGTTTTACGTGTTTCTGAATGAGCCCGAACAGTTTGACTACAGTAAAAACCTGGCTTGGCCACCTCCTCCCTCCTCAGCCCGAAGGCTTCTGTATCACCGTCTGCCCTTCCATCACACATTCCGCACTTCACCCCTCCATCTGCTCCCCTCAGAACCCTCTACCTCTCCCTTTGTCTCCGTCCGATCAAAGTCACCTTCCTGCCTCCCCACTGGACTCACTCTCTTACCTTCACTCCTACTCTGCACTCTGAGATGGACAAGTACCTGTGGCAAAGTAATTTTACCCTTCTTACTCATTGCCTCTTCTTTGCTCCTTCTGCACTACATCACCTGCTGAAACATACTGTACCTGCCTCTATCTGTGCCCTCCCTGCTTACTGGGACATTAAAATCAATAAAAGCAGTAAACCCAGTGGATGATACAATAAATAAAGGCATGAAATCTACCAAAGATGATCAACTACACTGGGTACATTTTCTTTAAAAACCTCCTCACCGGTCCTGGGAGTGAGTTGTGGCTGAAACATATGGCCAATTGAGCTAAAGCAGACTTTTACTTGGAACAGAGTCAAAAGCATCAGTATTTATAATGATGAATGTTTCTGGATTTACAGCATGCACAAGTGTGGCAGCTGTGTGTGAGTGCATGATGTCAAGCACCCAAACAGGAGCGATGAACAAGCCGTAGCTTTTGGCTATTGGTCATTTGAATTATTACTTTCTTAGAAACAAACAGACTTAGTTTCTATTTTATACTATAAATCGCTGTCAAATTACAAACCAAACTAGCCGGTGACATCCTGGTTTGCAACACTTTATCCCTGGCTCACGACAAATATCCACACACATGCATGCAACCCTGTAACCAAAGCAACCTACATGTGGGCACCAAACAAACTCGAGTGTAGTGCTTTACGAAGGCTAATACACATCTACATTTACAATAGAATGTAAACATATCTACAGACACACACACAAATACCCACAGAGAAAATATACATTCAAGGAGAAAGCAGGCAGCAACACTTCAGCTGTGTCCGCTTACTTAACACCCACAGATTCAAAAGAAGATTCACTGTACTGCATTATTCATCTTGCAGGCGAAATATACTTGAGACTAAAGTTTAGTGTAATGACTAGTTGTTTTATCAATTGCCAGGGGGGTTTACTGCTTTTACTAACCATCTAATGTGAATATAAAACAAATGAAAACATCTGACTTTAGGAAATTATAATGGGCATTTTCTGACATTTCATAGTCAAACAAATATCAAGCTTTGTATGATCAATGATAAAGCTCCTTTTAGTACAGAATGGGAGAAGCCCTGGAGATCAAATAAAATGAAAGAAAAGAGAGAGACAGCAGTTTTAAATAGGTGAGAGGGGATGTGACTTACTGTAGCAGGGAGATGTGAAATAACTGAAAATATTCAACCTGGACAAAGGGAAGGGGAACTAACATTCTGATGAACATTTGTGCTGCTTTGGTGTTGACTTTTTGTGGTAAATGAAGGGGAAAATGAGCTAAAAACTCTAAAAGCAAGAAAACGGCGCATCAGGATGAGGGATGGAGAAGATTACAGCAGGAGACAAAGTGGAAAATACATAACAAGAGAGGGCTGAAGTGAAGGAGAGTAGAAGGTGGAAAGGGAAGAGGAGAGGGGCAGACACCTAGACAGTGCACACTGAGAGTGCAGCAAATGCACACACAAACACTAAATGCACCCTTAATTTTAAATACGCCATTTGTCTCTGTATCTCTGTTCTAAACACCTAAAAACACATCATGGTTTAGAGATGGATCAAAAGTAACAAGAAGTGAGGAAGAAAGGAAAATTGTCAATTTTGCTTCAGAGGAGCTATTCGGCAAGGCGCTGTGAGGGGCTTATGAGTGGCTTTCAGCCATTTTATTTCACTTTTAGGCTTTTATTGGATTTGGTAGTAGCAAAAATATGAGGATAAAAAAAAAACATCATGCTTTCTTGGCTACCCAAACCAAATACACATACACAAAGCCATGTTAGGGACTGTTTTGTTATGTCAGTGAGTACACCTCAGCTATCTAGTCATACATTGGTTATACGACATTGATTCAGGCCAGGAAAAAAATATTTCATACACCATAAAAGAGAAGTACATTAAGACACAATCTCCCTGTAAACCAGATGTCAGCCAATCTCCAGGGGCTTTAGGGCTGACTAGGCTTTAGTTCTCGCCACCTTCACCCATCACAAACACTGGGGCAGACAGCTCTAAGAAAAGCTCTGCGTGAGGAATGCCAAGGAATCAGCTCCACCCCCCAGGTTGTGGAAATGTCACAGCTTTCTGCATCAGAGGTGATATATTTGGAAAGGTGTGGGCAGCGCACTCATAGCTACATCTGTGTATTGAAAAATAAGTCCACGCAGGCAGACTGTTCTGAGATGCAAACTCCTCTACTTGCAACAGAAATCAGCGTGATTAGGTGATGAATAAAGGGTCTGATATTTACAAAGAGGCAGGAGAGTACAGTAGGTGAAAGTGTGGTTGCCATGATAACATAATGACTGACAGTACTCACATCAGTGAATCCAGGCAGCAGGTGGAAGGGGAGGAGGGGCTTCGGGTCAGGGGAGGGCTGCATCCTGCCCAGCGTGGGGTGAGCCAGTGGCGGCAGAACACTGTTACACACATTACCTGGAAGGCAGCACAGCAGGGAGTAGACAGGTAGATAAGTATATGGACTAAAGAGAGATGAGCTGACTCCTTTTGGATCGTGATTGTGAAAGCTAGTGTGCACTTTTGTTATGGAGCTAATTCAGGCACATTTACAGTGCATTAATGTTGCTAAATACCAGCGATGATGAAAATGCACTAAATTTCCCTCAGGCCAAACATCACTTTATCATATGTTAGTTTGAAAACCCCACTCATCCACAGTGGCAGTAACACAAAATGTCAAACATGTATGACATGCAGAGGCACAAGGTAAACACATACATTTACTCTACATTGTACTTAAGTACAATTCTGAGGTATTTGAGTAAAAGTACTGCAGTTGTTTCCTCTTACTTGTGTGTTATAAACAGTAGTGCTTTGTTACATTTAAGAGCTCAATATTCTTTGCAGATTAAAACTGTTCATATATAATGTTATCATTTTTATGAAATAGCCTATACTGAAAAGTTAGCAGCTCAGGTCCAGCGAATAACCTTAAATGGTGCATAGCTAAGAGGCCATTTGACAGGTTTGAAAAAATTAAATTAAATGAATTAACTTACCAAAAACTAAAAATGTATGTAAAATAGGTCAGGTAATAGGTTAATTTCTAACTTTTCTGCAGCAGTGGAAGTAAATGAAGCCTTGAAAAGTGATGCAAACAATTCCTACAGGTGCCTCAACTTCTGCTGGTGACTTACAACTTCTATCTGTACAAAGGCAATTAACCAGCAAAAGACAATTAACAAAAGAAGTCACACCTTTCCAGGGTTTCGTCCTATAGCAGGATAACGACCCCCTAACCCCCAGAAAAACACCTCTGTGCTGTGTAGATAAAAAGAACAAGATGGTGAAATGAAGAAATGGCGACATGGATGAAGAATGAAAGCAGCTCTACAAGCGTAGCACATTTGTGGGAATTTCTGCAACAGTGGTGTCTATCAGAACAATATTTGAGGTGTGTTTGGTTGTTAAATTACACTAATAACAACTGGAAAAATGGAGGTGATCTTAAACTTTTGACCGGGTAGTGTATGCATATATACTTAATGTACATTTAAGTAAAGGGTCTGTAAACTCTAATGTTAATTGTATGATTATGCTGAATAGAGCATCACCATCTTTCCAAAGGCACAACTCATTAGGGCTGCACATAATTACTATTTTATTTATAATTAGCCTAGTAATGGTGAATAATGCCCATTATAATACTCCAGAGTCCAGGTAAGGTCAAGAGTCTTGCATTGTCAGACTGAGAGTACAAACCCAATGATGTTGACTTTACTGTGGTAGTTAAATAAGAAGATCACCAAACATTCACATAAGCTTGAATCAGGTTACATTTCTGGCATTTTGCTTTAAAAATAGATTCACTGACTAATTGTTTCAGCTCTAGAGCTCTGCATGTGAGGCTTTCTTTAAGGACAGCCTCTTCAGGTTGTTTCAGGTGTACTCAGGGGCCCAAAGTGCTGTCTCACACACACACACACACCCACACACACACACACACACACACACACACACACAGGGAAACTGAAGGTTAATCTGCACCGGTGCCAAACTAAAGTCATAGGAGCAACGGGCATGCACTCACAAGCACGCACTGGCCCACACGCACATAAACACACGCAAACAGCCAAACAATCGACCATAATACAAAATACATTCATATATCAAAATTAAACTCCCACACGCAAAACATGTTGATAGGCTACATGAGCACACTCGTAGCCTTGCACACGCGCACGGCTCTGGCTCAGTGAG